ACACACACCACACCACCACACACACACACACACACACACACACACACACACACACACACACACACACACACACACACACACACACACACACACACACACACACACACACACACACACACACACACACACACACACACACACACTTCCCTGTCCTACACATCCCGTCAGCAGTCGCCGGTCGCGGCGGCGCCGCCTGAGGAGGAGCCACGGCCGCAACGGAATGCAAAGGGAAAGTCATCCGCACAACCCAAGGCTGCTGCAAAGACAAAAGGCAAGGCAGCAGCAACAGCAGCAGCAAAGCGAGGAAGCAGGCGCGCGTCACGAGGGCATGCCGGCGATGCAGGTACAGCAGCGGCAGAAAGTGGCGTGGTCGAGGCACGGCCAGCGACACGCACACGCACGCGAACAGCAAGGGGAGCAGCTGCACGTCGCAGCAGCGAGAGACGAGGCGTCGATGAGGGCGATAGCTTTGCTGCTGCTGATTATGACGCTAAAACGGAGGAGGAGGAGGATGTGGCGGGTATGGTTGTGCCTGAGGTTACCGACGCAAATGAGCTGCCAGGACGGAGGAAGAGCACACGCGCAGCAGCAGCAGCAGCAGCAGCAGCGGCGGCGGCGGTGAAGAGCAAGAAGAAGGCGGGCAAGAAGCAGCCGCCAAAGACACCCCGAGCAGCAGCAGCAGCAACTGCTACCGCTTCCAGCCCAGCGAAGACCAGCGGGAAGAAGAAGGTCAAGCACAAGAGGCGCACTGCCAACGATGATGATGATGATTATAATGAGGGGGAGGAAGGTGCAGCTGACTTGATGGACACGAGTGCTGACAGTGGTGGGAGTGGCGGCGGCGGTCGTTACGACGACGAGCACGGCGAGGGTGTTGATGCCGGAGCAGGGACTGGACCCCTCACGCGGCGGCGGAGTCGAAGGCGGGCAGCAGCCGCAGGGGTGGCCTCACTGACAGCCCGCCTGGAGAGAGACATCAGCATCAACGACGATGGCGACGACGCTGGTGATGGTGACGGCGACGGTGATGGTCTGGGCAGCAGGCCACTGCGTCGCAGCAAGCGAGCAGCAGCACAGCGCGCACGCAAAAGGACAAGCGGACGCTACGGCGGAGGCGATGGCGACGACAATGACAACGATGATGCCAATCGAGAGGATGGAGCTGCTGAGCCAGAGGCAATGCACGGTGAGAAGCACGCGGCGGCGGCGGCGGCGGCGGTATCGGAGGCGGAGGACACAAACCGAAGCAGTCTTCCCGCAGATGAAGATGAGGAGGGAGTGGAGGGTACATCGACAGGGCGCACGCCTGTGCCGGGCCTTGCACCCCAGAAGCGAGCGGCGGCACTGAAGAAGCAACGGCACAGGCACAAGCGGAAGCAGCGGCGACACGGCGAGCAGGACCGGGGCAGCCGACGTGTTGGTGGCGAGGGTGATGTTGGCAGCGGTGAGTATGATCAAGATGATGATGGCGGTGGTGGCGGTGGTGGATCCATGCACCATGAGCCCGACCTCCTCGACGACCAAAGCGATCACCACCATCACCACGGCGGCGGTCGGGCTGGCGGGGACGAGGATGGTGCTGCCGCAGCGGTGGCGGAGGCGAAGAGGAAAAAGAGGAGGAAGAAGAAGCGGAATAAGGCGAGCAAACGGGACAGGGCGCAGCGTAAGCGCCGGCAGCGCGACGGCGACGGCACAGCGGAGGCGGGCGCAGGCGCAGATGCGCACCGTGGACACGACGATGATGGCGATGACGGTCATGATGTTCATGACGGCGAGAGCGGCGATGGTGATCACGATGATGATGATGATGGTGACGGTGAGCCGACAGCAAAGAGGTCGACGCAAGACCGGCGGGACAAGCGCTTGGCAAAGGCAAAGCGGCACAAGCACAGGAAGCGACACGGGCACAAGCACACCCCCGCCAGCACGGATGCCGGTGGCGCTGACAGCTTTGATGGTGATGGCGATGATGGCGATGATGGTGATGATGGTGGTGATGCACTGATGTCTCCCCTTCCCAAACCATCGACGCTGGAGGCTGGAGGAAGCAGCATCCTCCATAACGCATCCAACAGGTGCGCGCGCGCGTGTGTGTGTGTGTGCTGCACACCTTGTGTTGCGCACGCTCCCATTGTGCTGTCGTGCTTGTAAGTCCGGGAGCAATGTGGAACACTGCGACCTGTTTGTTCGACCATTCAGCCAACTCACTCCATTTCACTCGCTTTTTCACCCGCTTGTATGCTTGTAGATGCAGTTGCCACCATCAAGTCGCGCCGCCGTAAACGAAAACACAAACATGTATGTCCTCTGCGCGTTTGTATCGATGGTTGGCATCGTGTCAGTGTTCACAAGTGTGTGCGTGTGTGCGTGTGTGCGTGTTTATGTATTCGCTGTTTCCCCCCACACATGGCCACGCTTGCTCTTCCTTTGATTCATTCATGTGCTTTCTCACCACAACTGCTACTGTGTCTGCTTCAATTTCCGCCTTGATCATCGCACGGCAGCGCTCTCCGTACGTATACGCACGCGCCATTGCTTGCCCCTTGCCATCCTGCCCACCAATGTGCCTGTTGCTTTTTTATCCAATACCCTCACCTACTTCTTGCCCTTCCTCACACGGTGTCGCCTGCACTGCATCTGACATGGTCGCGCTCCTCCTCCTCCTCCTCCTCCTCCTCCTCCTCCTCCTCCTCCTCCTCCTCCTCCTCCTCCTCCTCCTCCTCCTCCTCCTCCTCCTCCTCCTCCTCCTCCTCCTCCTCCTCCTCCTCCTCCTCCTCTCTTGAAATATCTGTTCTTTTTCCCACCACCACCACCCCAACAGACATCGAGCAGCGGCAATGCCCGACCAGGTCAACGCATATCCGACAGTCAGGTGAGCAGTTGAAGCGAACCTTAATCACTGCCACTGCAATCATCTCTTCCACCGTGTTGTTCTCGCACGCTACTGTCGAGCTGTTGTTTCTCTCCACTCCCACCCATACACTTTCAATTTCCTCACCTCATCCATCCCCTCCTCCTCCTTTCTCGCCACCGTTTCGCAAGGATGCACGATACGGACGCCGGCGTGCTTTCCTCCACCGTGTCCGATGCCCAGCCGGACGTGCTTGGTTCGCGGTTCCGGCCCCCGCACGGCCTCCCCGAGCCCCCGCAGCAGTATGCCGTTCGCCGCGCACGCCTTGCCCCAGGACCCATCGTAATCCCCGCTCAGGTGCCCTGCTGAACACACGCGCCATGTGTCTGCGTCTGTGTGTGTGTGTTTGTGTGTCTGCGTCTGTGTCTGTCTCTGTGATTAATGCAATCGCCGTGCTCATGTGTTCCCAAACCACCACCATCATGGCTTCTTCATCTTCCCCTCTTCGGTACAGAACGGTCGCCCGGCAGGTCTTGCGCTGCGGAAACCAAACTTGAAGAATTGCCGCCAGTTTGTGCACGTGTGGATGGCGTGGCAGGTTGGTCCGGTTGCCCATGCTTGGACAAACGAGAACCTGGATGTGTGTTTGTATGTGGGTGTGGGTGTGTATGGGCTGATGATGCGATGGAGGTGTGATGACTGAAGGTGTCTGTGGACGCATGATGCCGCTCACATTCACACACACTCTCTCTCCACCTTGTATTTATTTCATTATCTCTTGAAATCCAGATCCATTTTGATCAGTATGTGCACACGCAGGACCGTTTGAAGGCCAAACGCCAGGCGGAAGCCGCTCAGGTACTTTGGCCAAACACACACACACACACGCGCGCGCGCGCGCACACACACACACACGCACACACACACACACACACATGCATGCATGATTGGCGCAGACAACCCCCCCCCCCAGACAAACACACGGTAAACCCATGCATGCAACTGAAACACGCAGCACGCGACTGGATTTCCTGCCACGTACTCACTTGCTTCTCCCGTCGTTGTCCTGTCCCATTCTGCAGCTGCTGCAACAACAACAACAACAACAACAACAACAACAACAACAACAACAACAACAACAACAACAACAACAACAACAACAACAACAACAACAACAGCAGCAGCAGCAGCAGCAGCAACAACAACAACAATACCACCAACAGTACCCACAGCAGCACCTGGCCCATCCGCCTCCTGCGATTGTGACCACCACCCACGCGCTGCACTCGCAGTTTCTGCCGCCCCCACCGCAGATGCGACAGCTGCAACCGCACCACCACTACCCCCACCAACAGCAGCAGCAGCAGCATCAGCAACAACAACAGCAGCCACAACGTTCGTACTTGCCACAATCGCAGCACCACGCCAACCACCACCAGCATCAACAGCAGCCCCAGCAGTTTCCGCCCGCGACCATGTATCAGCCCCACCACCCGTACACGTCAACACCTGCACCGCCAACGCAGCCGCAACCACAGTTGATCCACCAATCAACCATGCCGTACCAGCCCCGGCAGCAACCGCACCAGCACCACGCTGCGCTGAGTCGAGGGCCCATGGCACAGACTGCAGTGGGCACGCCCTCGCAACCAGCACACGCCTACCCGATGCCACCCCACGCAAGCGTGTACCAGCAGCAGCAGGCGAACACATCTGCCATGCCACCACGTGGCCCGGTCACCGCCACCGCCACGGTCACGCCCGCTGCTGCTGCTGCCGCTGCCGCCGCCGCTGCTGCTGCTGCTGCCGTGAACGGCGGCGCGGGCGTCATGAACGGATATGCGACGCCGGTGGCAGCGACGATGGCGTCAGCGCCCAGGCCGTATGCAGGCCCGCTGTCGGCAGCACGGGCGACACACGTGCCCTACAACGCGCATGGCATGGCACACGGGGCAGGGCACCATCCGCCCACGCAGCCGCAAGCGCAGCCGCGGCCGCAGCAGCCACACATGCTCCCACGCGTGCAGCCGCCATCCACTGTTGCTGGTTATGCGCCGTCAGCACAACAACACCGGCAGCCGCCACAGCCGAGCATGCTTGCACCGCCCACGACGCAACCGCCACCGCCCCCTTCGTCTTCAGGATAAAAACAAAAAACCCCAAAACAAAATCGATTTGCTGCTGGCGTCGCCCAAGGCCGCACGCTTCGCTGTCGTCACGGAACCTCTCGCATTGTATTTCAGGTCGCACATACACTTCCCTTCTGTGTCGGTGTGAACCATCACGTTCGTTGCCTCTCTATCCACGCTGGTTTGTCGCCATTGCTTTTCACCCCGCTTTTCAAACTTGAAACGCAGCTATTCGAGCATACGTCGAGTGTGTTTGTGTGTGTCTGTGTGTGTCTGTGTGTCTGTGTGTGTCTGTGTGTCTGTGTGTGTGTCTGTGTGTGTGTGTCTGTCTGTCTGTGTGTGTCTGTGTGTGTGTGTCTGTGTGTGTGTGCGTGTGTGCCTCTCTCTCTCTCTCTGTGATATCGACTCCTCCCTTGGGTGTTTTCATGTAGCTGTAGGTCGGCTGAACAGAACAGTCTTTATTTGTAGTGGCTGGTGCCTGGCCACGCCACGCCACCACGATCATCATTGTCACCACTGTATCGCTATTTGTATCGTCTCGCTCGCCCTCTCTGTTGTTTGCATCACAATCTCTCTCATCTGCTTGAATGTGTGTGTGTTTGTGTGTGTGTGTGTGTGTGTGTGTGTTGTGTGTGTGTGTGTGTGTGTGTGTGTGTGTGTGTGTGTGTACATAGCCAAGTGTGCTTAGATGAACAGAAATAAAACTGACACGAAGTGCGCACAGCAGCTGTGACGATGGTGTGTTTACTTGAAGTTCAGTGCATTGCATCACATCACGCCTCACGTGTCATCTTGACGACGTTACGACCTGCTTCACACCAAGCAAGACACATGTTCCCCGCTAACATACACAAACACATACAACACGTACACATACACACTCTCTCACACACTCACACTCACGTGCTCGAGTCGACGGGCTTATTCCTGCGGTGGCGCACCTCTGCAGGATCAAACCCGCGCTGGGGATGGCCAACAATGGCCCACTCGGGTGTTGGGGCAACGTAGTCGAGAGCACTGAAGGGCTTGTTGCTTGCAGCTAGCTCAAGGAACTTGTCATAGTCGATCCACGTGTGCCACCGGCCGTTGATGAAGAACTGATGATAAAGATGGCAATGATGATTGTGTATGTTTGGAGGGTGGGAGAAATGGTGAGCTGGCACGAATGCGATAAAGAAGGGCGCATCACAACAAAGGCGTCGTTCACACGCACTTGCACATGAAAATACACACATATATGCACACACACAGAGGCACATGAAGAGTATGCTTGTACCTTTTTGTGAACGGCGAGAACGGAGTTGGAGTGCTCGTGCTCGCACACAATCTCGTAATCAGGCAGCTGGTCAATCACTTGACGCACAAACCCAACAACCTGAAGCGACGAAGGCGGTGTGTGTGTGTGTGTGTGTGTGTGTGTGTGTGTGTGTGTGTGTGTGTGTGTGTGTGTGTGTGTGTGTGAAGAACAAAATGCAAGGCACGTTAAACATCAACAACACATGAATGAGCACGGTAGAGGGGGGGGGGGCGGGGCGAGAAAAGATCGTTGCAATCAATTATAGAATGACAGAAACAAGCACGCACGCACCTCGTCGTGGTAAGGGACGTTTGACATGGTGAGGGACGATGCCTTGGACGATCCACAGTAGGTCACGCCCTTCACTTCGATGAAGTCGGGTTGGCCGAGCGTGACAAGGTTCACATACCCGTCAACCTCATCGCTGTTCCACGCCTTGACAATCGTCAAGCGGTACACCGTGCGCTGGCCCTGTCATTTCAAATTGTCCGGGAGGGAAGGAGATGAGCAAGTGTTAGAGAGGGGAGCGCAAGTGCTTGTGTGTGTGTGTGTGTGTGTGTGTGTGTGTGTGTGTGTGTGTGTGTGTGTGTGTGTGTGTGTGTGTGTGTGTGTGTGTGTGTGTGTGTGTGTGTGTGTGTGTGTGTGTGTGTGTGTGTGTGTGTGTGTGTGTGAACAAAATGGCATACGCTCTAGCATGCACCACTGCGCGTGTGTGCACACCTTGAGGGAAAGCGCCTTAAGCGACTCAATGAATCGTTCCCAGAAATCGCGAAAGAGCGGGCGGTCAATCTTCTTCAGCGAATCCTGCACACACACACACACACACACACACACACACACACACACACACACACACACACACACACACACACACACACACACACACACACACACACACTACGTACG